ATATTTAAATTAGCATAACTCTAATTTATTTCTATAAGTGTGGAGGTAAAAATTGAATGCAAGACCTTTTTAAAGATAGACAAGGGCTTTACCCTTGAGATGCATCCACAGTCTGTGGTTCTGTTCTTGTTTATGTACAATTATGTTTAAATGTAGAAATATTCCAGAAATGTTAAAGGGCAGTTGTTCTTTTGGGAGAAGAGATTATGAAACATCTTTTGCTCTTTTTTATGTAAAACAGCCTGGTGTGGGAGTTCCTTCTGTCTACTGTTGCTTTTATTGGTTAATAAATAATGAAACTGTTTTGGCCTATAGCAAGGCAGAAGTTAACTAGGCAGGGAAAATTAAACTGAACTCTGGGAGAAAGAAGGCAGAGTCAGTGAGAAGCCATGGAGCCCCGCCACAGAACAGATGCCGGAACTTTACCGGGTAAGCCACAGGCACTTGGCAATGCCCAGATTGATAGAAATGGTTAAATTAAGATGTAAGAGTTAGCCAATTAGAAGCTATGGCTAATGGACCAAGCAGTGATTTAATTAATACAGTTTCTGTGTGATTATTTTGGAAGTTTGGAAACAAGCAGCCAAGCAGCCTTCCCACAACAATAGCCCAATATTTTTGCATATTAGCTTCATATAATTATACATTATGCTTAGGGTGCAGTGTGATATTTTGACAGTTCCCATGTACCATGCATGACTAAATCAGAATAACTGGCACTCACAACCTTAACCAGTCGCTCTTCCATTTATTAATATTTAAGAACTTTCCCGGTCCTGTTTTGCAGTTATTTTGAAACTCACATTGAACTCTTGATGTGGTGACTGCACTGTACTATGTGACTCTAGAGCTTACTGTGCTCCCATCCCCTCGTCTAGCTCCTCACACCCACCTTCGTTCTCTCCCTTGTTACATGAGTAAGCTGCAGTATTTGTCCCTTGGTGCCTGCTGTATTTTACTTAACACAATGACTGCTACATCCATATGTGTTGTCTGTCACAGATGACTGGATTTTGCTTTTTTTAAATGTTTGATTAGTATTTTGCTGTGTAAATGTAAACATTTTTCTTTGCCCGTTCTTCAGGCAATGGACAATTAGGATGTGCCTGTCTTGGCTGGTGTGAATAATCCTGCAATAACATGGGAGTATTAACATAAAATAGTATTGAAATGTCAGTTTGTATAACCTAACTTTATTAAAGATATGAGCTTAAATTTTATCTCTATCAAAGATCATATTTAAGACCATGAAAGATTTTTGGTTATATTTGAAATCTCTAAGAGGAATTATGAACATCTTTGATGTTATGATGTTAAACATGGCACCTATTTCTTTGTGCCAGTCTGAGAATCGATATTACTTAGGGACCAGTGTAATGGGGAAAGACCATCTAGTCAGTCTAGAGTTTCACATGCAACCATCTTTAAGTAGAGGAAGGTCGTACATCCTCGCCGTAGGGATGACATTAGAATGGTAGTTTTTAATGAAGACTGGCCTTGTCAGAAATGCTAGTACAATCTTTCTGCATGTCATTGAAGTATAGTTACATAGCTGTAATTTTACCACTTTGTGCTCCAAGAGTCCCATGTGTCTCTCCAGCCCTATTGGGTAAATCAATGTCAAGTTTCCTGAGAGCTTGAGCAAGGTATTATATCCTGTGTCCCCTCCCAATGCTCAGTACAAGACCTGAAGCATCATCCAAAGGCAACACATTTAGAAAATAATAAAGAATGTTTGAAATCCAGTCATCACCCTTAAAGCCAGTCACATGGCTTGATACTGCATATTATTTCATGCTATTATCAATGCAGTCAAGGTGATTGAATAGAACCACATTTTCATGTCAAAAGATAGAAAAAGATAATAGAAACATTCCCTTCCATTTAGTTTTGAAACTCATAAGAAATGAGAGTGATGATATGAATCCTAGGAAGAAAACTAGACCTAGACTTATGGGTCTGTCCACAGAGTAGTATGGGATAGGCCCCAGTGAGAAATCCCGGTACTCTGGGAAAAACTCAAAGTACATCCAAGATCAGCTGAAGCAGATTTGAATTTGGACCACTTCAATTTCCAAGGAAGAACAGGGATGGTTTCTCTAGACTTAGAACAGGTATGAGACACGGTGTTGATAAGAGAGCCTCTCTTATCCTGCTTTTGCCTGAGTCCCATTTTCCTGTTACTCTATTGAGGGAGTCCGGTATACCAGATTCTGGAATGACTCGTAAATTGTACCCAGTCTTCAGCTCTACCCATTTTTATGTACTTTTACATTAAATCATCCCAGACTTTCACAGAATCATAGGGTGAGTTTGTGGTAACGTATCCCCAAATCATTCTAAGATATGTTTGGATTGACTTTCAGCAGAGGTTTTATTTGTCTCTGAATGCAGATCAAAGGAATAGTCATCCCTGGGAAAGTTCAAACTCGAATACCTCCTCACATCCCAAGAACACATTCAGTCAGGAGGATATCATGCAATTTAGCGCATTTTGATAAAATATTGTTTGGGTAAATTATTAACAAAATGCTTTAAGACGAATCACTTAGCACAGAACTCAATCCGCATTATGGAGCAAAAGAAAATTCATCTGACCTGAGGAAATATATTTAATAATGGATGCCAATTTTTAGATGGTGGTCTTTTGAATGTTCTAAACATCCATAATTAGGGTGTAGCAAATTTAATGACAAAGAACTGCACACAAGCTCCTAATTATAGTGGTGTGCCACTGATCCGAAGGAGCTAACGAAAGGGTAATGAACATACCATCCATTTTGTCTGTTGCTCTTCCCCAAGCTCACAAAAGTTCAAACCTATAAGATGAAACACATTCAGCTACCCTGTTTTCAAAGCTCAACAGCCTGTGTTTTTGAAATACGCTAATTTAAATTTAAAGACACATACTTAATGTCTCCCCTTTGTAGCTTTTCAACAACATAGACACAGGGAGTCACCATCTGTTTTGAGCCTGGGTCATTACCAATTCATCCTCCTGCCCTGTATTATCAGATCAAGACGGTGGACACAAATTTGGCCGCCTGGGCGCTGGCATTATTAATGTGCACCCCGGCACATGCTCATAAAGGGGGTTTACTTGGAGCTGAAGCCTGGTGCTTCCTTTTTCTATTTGCCCAGTGCTCACGATTGCTCAGTATGAATCTACTAATGTAGAACACAAAGAACTTCTAGGGGTATCTGCCAACAAGTCCAAGAGAAAATCATTTATGTTGTCAGAGACAGGCATAGGTGGGCAGCACTGAAGGAGCAGAGTCAGAAAGAGATAAGATCAAGGCTGAAAACACACACAAGAGCCGTGTCTTCCCTATGGGCCTGGGGATGATGGATCTTAATGCTACCATACATCACTGTGTGCAACGTGTGAATGAAGATGGGCAAGTGTAACGCATCTCCACGTGGTAATAAAACTTACGGCTGAGTCCCTCTCAAGTCACTCAGCTCATCACAATATTAGGGGTCACTTAAAACAGATGTTTTACTCTGGTTAAACTTTGACCGTGTGTCAGTTTGTACACCACATAGAATTTATCATTTGATAAATTGTTACAAAGGCAATTAACACGATGCCCCTGGCTCCCCTTCCTGCTCTTTTTAACATGGGGCAAAGTCATAGCAGGATAATTATAATCATGTACATGAATATAATTCATAGTGTAACAATCTCATCTTTAAACAAATGTAACCTGGATATGTGTATAACCTTAATACCAGCACCTGGGAGGTTGAGGCAAGCAGATCTTTGTAAATTCAAGGCCAACCTGATCTACAAAACAAGTTCCAGGATATCTATGGCTACATTGAAAAACCTTGTCTCAAATAACAACAAAAAAAATGCAATAGTGGGCCGGGCGGTGGTGGCGCACGCCTTTAATCCCAGCACTTGGGAGGCAGAGGCAGGCGGATCTCTGTGAGTTCGAGACCAGCCTGGTCTACAAGAGCTAGTTCCAGGACAGGCTCCAAAACCACAGAAACACCCTGTCTCGAAAAACCAAAAAAAAAAAAAATGCAATAGTGTTCCTGTCACTCATAAAATTTTCTTCTTGGGCTGGCAAAATGGCTCAGTGGGTAAAAGTGCTTGCCACCCAGCCTGATGATCTGAATTTGATTCCTGAGATCCACATGTTTGACGGAGATAACTGACTGCTATAAGTTGTCCTATGACCTCCACAAGCATTCCATAACACATACTGAACCATTATCAAACAAACAAGTAATACTGTTAAGTTAATCAAAACATTCGCAGGATAGCTACTACACACTAGATGCATGAGGTCTCATTTCAAGGGGCTACAGCTCAGTTGTTGGAATAAACAAAATAATTGCTTAATTGTTGAAGAAAAGCTGAAACATTTTATTTAAAAATATTGCTTCCACTTATATTTGCTGCAGCAATTTAGAGGAAGGTATTAATAAGTCAGGGCTGCATACTCCCTTAAAGGGGTCATAGCTCTCTGGATCCCTGTGAAAGTCCATAGGTTGATTTCTTAGATTGTCATGAAAGAAGATTCAAGACTAGAAGGATTTGAGAACATCCATTCTCACCATTCTGATGTCCATGATGAAGGTGTTGACTCAAGATAAGGAGCAATGTAGGGCCATGAAAGTTCAATAAAGCAAATATTGACATTTTATTTGTGTTATCTTGGTCAACTATTTGAGCCAATTCTCTTCCATACAGTAACTTAAAAAGACTTATTTTACCCCATGGACCTGTGTTTGTGCCCAAGGAGCAAATATCATGCAGAAGGTGCACCAGCTCGCTATTCCGTACTAGCTCTCATGTGGATGCACACAATTCGCCTGAAACCCCATGGGTTAAAATCAGACAAAAGGACCATCTACCTGCAACAGGGTTGGGGAATAGTCATTGATAAGAGAAGAGGGAACCAGTTCTCCTAGGTTTTACCACAGATGCTATCCAGATATCACATACAAGAGAGAATATAGCCAGGAAAGGCATGTGTGATGGGGAAACAATAACAACATATTTATTTAATTTAAAATTGAGACGCAAGTAATTAAAGCTTTCATTTGTTCTATTTTACATAGAAACCCATGGAAAAAAGAAGTACTTTTACCATGATCATGATTTTCTTTAAACACTATGATTGCGTGCATGTGCACTACCTAATTCTGTTCAGACATGTATGCGCTCACATCAGAGAGCTGCTACCAAAGTAACTCAATAATTACAAGTTTGAGAAATCCTCATTGCTGAAAATTACAAACCCAAGGACCTATAATTCACAGAATGCTTGTTCTGTAGCTCACTTGATAAATTTTATTGATTTTGAAAGCAATAAAAGAAAAACCTTTGTAGAGCCATTGAGATAATTATTTCATCATAAATGTGGATGAAATTGGTAGATGATATGGTAACCTGAAATTAGGTATCATTATCACATTTATGTGAAGAGTAGTTTCCAAGTGTTTTAAGCATTGACATACTTTATGTTTTCTCTATTATCAAAACCATTTTCAAGGGATTGTAACCTATTGGTAAATTTCACTCTTGGAGTATATAGTTCCAAAATAAAATTGAGAAGACACAAACCTTCAATTATTACATTATTACATTTTTTCTAATGATCCCTATTTCTCCAAATATTTTTACTATAAATCACGAGAGAACATAGCCACATAAAGCCTTGAACTCCACCTTGTTATAAAGATAGGTCTTCTATAGCTGGGGCAGGCCTCAAACATCTAAGGCTAGCCTTGAAATCTTGACCAATCTCAGTCTCCTAAGCTTGTGAATGCTAGGATTATATAGATGTGGGTTACAATGCCCGGTATGATTCTTCTTGATCATGCTTAGTAACTGTTCCTGGTGTTCCTCTCAGGATACCTTTTCTTGTTTATTTTCATCCCACCCTCTGGTTGAGATTGAAGGTTTAAATACCTTGAAGCCATTGTTCTCCTATCTGTATTCTTTCATAGACACGAAGGTCTATAATTCAAAGAACAAGCTACATCCCAGTATGTTCCCAAATTATATTCTGGCCTTGACCTTGCCCTCATGTCTATATTTATAACCAGCTGCCTACTTACTGTGTCCACTTAGCTACCTAATACCATTTCAAGATCAGAAAATGAAAAGTAAGACTCGTTTATTGCCAGTTCTGTCCCATAAATACTGGTATTCGGAACAAGAGACCTAAACATCTTGTCTCCATGTCTTCCTTTTCCTCCTATCCAACTCCTGTAGCCCCTAGACGCAATTCCTCCTCCTCTTTTACTCTGATACTATCAACTCACCAATCATGTATAAATTCTCATCAGGTTAATGCAGTGACCTACTAATTTGTCTCCATGCCTTCCCTCTAAAAATCTACCTTTCACACAGAAGATTTGGAGAACAGTGTACAGAAATCCGAGCACACTTCTCTTTTGCTTAAGCAGGACAAAAATCCAGTGATTCTCCCCAGACTTCATGAGTATTCTCTATTCCTGTCTTTTTGTTTGTTCCACCTTCCTCCTACGATACTTTTATCTTTTCTTTCTTCTTCACTCCGACCATCCTCATCTTGTTTGTTCCTCAGGACCATTATACTGGTGCCTTCCATTAGTTAGGCTGTTCTTTTGAAAAGTCCTGTTCATCATTTAGGTCTCATGCCAAAATACACCTATAATGATTTCTCCTTGACATCCCTGCCATTGACACATGGTCTGCCATCTCCACTGCAAAGGGACTCGTAATGTTACCAAACTTCAGTCTGGAAATTATCACATGGTACTACTAAGTCACCCAGAAAACAAAGGCACTGCAAACATTGTCCACAGGGTTTTACTCTTAAAAGACACACAGTCCATCCACATTTTTAGTCGTGTTAAGACAGAAATGGAGGCCAAATGTTCATAATGAAAATATACTACCATTACAGGGAGAGCTAATAATTTCTCTCTGGGTACTTAGGCTAGATTGGGACGTAGGCAGTCTAGGTCTGAAAATCCCATTTCCTACTACTTTGCAATAATTTTTAGTGAAATGAGTATCCTAAACACTGTTATCAATATATTCGCTCATGTGTTTATGGGTCACAAGCAGGCAGTAGTGTTGGTGAAGCATTGCACCTCCCTGTAATTGTACTAGTAAAGCAAAAATAAATAGTCCAAAAGCAACTTTTGAGTTTTTAATGCACAAAAACAACAGCCCAGAAACATAAGCATTGACTTATTAACAATGAAGTATGATATTAAGGAGACCCCTCCCCACTTAGTAAATAGGAATATAGTGGGAATAGACATGAAGGGATGGGAACACTTTAGGATTAAGTGCAAGCCCTAAGGTTGAATACAACATTCATATATGGCTTATCTTGCATCAATATTTTCATAATGAAGCTTATGATATCTATACATATCAGAAAGATGTTTCTGACTCAACAAAATGCTGAAGAGGTAGTTTTACCAAGGCAAGGTGAGGAAAAGGCTTTACCTTGCTTTGGCTGTTTCCTCAAAACTCTACAACTTCGTTTGTTCTAAGTTTCTCCTGAATCAGCCAAGAAGATAATGCACTTAGAGCCTGCCAATTCATAAAACAAAGGACTGATTGACCCAAGGGGAACAAGGGATGTTTTTAACATCACCATTGTGTGAGTTGGCTGGGTAGCCTCCGTCATGTTCTTCCTTCTCGTGTAAGGCATCCTGGCTCCATGGAGAAACGAGCAATGTGACTTTCAGTTGTGGGAAGCCCTCTATCTTCTCCTTCACTTCCTGGGTGGTTTCATGATAGCAGCTTCCCCAGTGACTCCAGTGACCCAAAAATTTTCCCAGCTGACCCTATCATTGATTGTCATGAGTTACTTTAAGTCTGAAAAAAAAAATGAAACTGGGAATTGTGTAATAAATACAAGTAACTGCACAGAAGTCTTCTTGTTTTCAGCTGTGTTTCATAAATCCACTTTCTGGACTCAGAAAGAGTTGGGCTTCTGATAGCAAGATGCTACATGCTGCTTACTCATGTGTGTGTGTGTGTGCACGCATGTGTGTGTGCACGTGTGATACAAACTGGGGAAGTTCTATATGCATTGAAATTCTGACGTCAGTCATTTGACTCTATGTACAAACTAGCTTATCCTAAACTTACAATTAGAAACAAGCCCACCCCACCCCCATCAAAAAATAATACAAACAGAAGAAACCAAATGGCAACAAAACATTTGTCAATTTTCAAAACTAGAACAGTTCGAACAGTCATGTACCAGACCATGGTTAGGAACCATTAGAAACAAAGTGACATCTTGTTCATCAGGTATGACCAGTTACACACAAAAAGCACAAATATACAGGATGGAGCTTTGCAGATAGCTCAGCAGAGTGTGTACATGTCAGCGCGAGGCTGAAATCTAGCAGGAATTTCCACAGAATGCCCCTAGCTAAAAGCAGTCCCATCGCAAGATCATTTTAAAGTCACCAATGATGGGAACTTTGGGCGGTGACACTTCGCCTTATTTCCACTCCCACTTGTCTTTGACGATGCTCAACGCGAGAAACAAAAGTCACGAGAAACAGCGCTTGCCCGCTTCTGCATTTTCTCACAGGAAAGTAGGCACAGGTGCATTCTCCGGTGGTGATCTACAGCTGCATGCTTCCTGCAGGTTCACCGTGCCCGGGGCCGATTCTTAGGACACATCACAGGAGTGTACATGCAACAGCTCCCACTGATGAGGTCAACAAGCTCCTGCTATTACAAGGCTCCAGATTCAAATCAAAGCATAAATAACCCAGAGACCATGCTTGGGCACTTCCCTTCGCAATGTTACTGAAAACGGATACTGGTCGGAGCAGCGGGAACGCTCTCCACCAGTGTGGATTGGAGAGTAGCTTTGTGCACTTTTGCAATATAAACAACAGCAACAACAAAATCCCCCTCAAAATTCCCCAGCTATTGCCTGTATTTTATTGGTTAGCTCTGTCTGTTGCTAGAAAGACGCTGTGCTGCTCTTGGGCTCTTTCAGTCAACTTCCTCCTTTTCTTCTTGTTTCTCTTCTCCTTGGCCTTTGGTGTTCTCTTCCCTAGGATGGGATAAAGAAAGAGGGGAAACGGAGGATGTCAGACAAGTTCCTTTCTCACAGAAGGAGAATACAAAACATTAAGAATTTTGTCCAAAGCCCATCTGGAAAACATCACCCACGGAAAAGGCGGCCTCAAAGGGAAACCTGTTCACATTAATTTTGATGAAATCATAATAATTTCCTAAATTGGATATGCTGTCAAGGACAGAGACAGATCTTCCTGCTACAGGGAACTGGCATATTTAAATAGAGGCCGGATCAGTCTTACAAATATCCTTGTGCAACAAAAATTTTGCTTTTATTCTCCTGCTTTTAACAATGCTAACTTTAGTAGCCACCTTTGCCTCTTTCAACTGCTCCACATGTCTGTCAGTGAGAAGAAAATAAGCTTCTCTCTATGGTAAATATACCAGAAGTCTCAAACTCCCTTCTTCAGGAGGGTGGGTCTTGTTTTTGACACTGTCCCCACCAGATTCTCTACAGACCAATGAATGAAACAACTATTTGTATTGATTATTTTCATTTTCTATTAAAAAAAAACTCTTGAGGAATCATTCATTATATGTTTCATCACTTCTTATCCAATTTGCCTAGACAAGTCATTTTCATTAACACTGAGAAGAAGGCTTGCTTGTTCCAACAAGTGTTTTACTATCAGAAAACCACACCAAGTTCTTTCTGTTTCTCTCCTTAGCCACTAGGAAGCATGAACCACAAACTGAATACTTGAGATTTTTCTCCATCAGAGGCTATTGGATACAATTTCTTCTCTGCCATCTTTCATTTCTTCCATCTTCTGGCTGTGATTTGTATTTTATACTTTAGAAGGTCTCAACATTTCTTTACATACATGTATACACAAGATTACGAAAAAAAGAAACTGGAAGCACTTGGGTTTGGTTCACTGTTTTCATATAGAAAAGTGACATACTTAGAAAAAAGGGGGAACTTCATAAATGTTACATTTTACTGGATGTCACCACAGAAGGACTGCTCTAGAAAAAAATCCAATTACCAAATATCTGCTACCTGCCATACTTCTAGTTTCATACAAAACTCATGTTCTACTTCTGTAGGCTTAAGCAATCAGATACCAAAGGAATCTGTATTGATGGAACATTTAGCCAAGCATCCACCCAATGATCTTCAATTTTCCTATACATATGAAATTCAGTGACCTAATCCTTTTCATTACAACCCCCAAATGGAAAAGGTGGCTAATTTAAAAATAAACTAGATGGAGCTGGAGAAATGGCTCAGTGGTTAGGAGAACTTGCTGCTCTTGCAGAGGAACTGAGTTCAGTTCCCATGGTGGCTCACAATGACCTCCACATGTGGTAAACACACAGTACACACGCATCCATGCAGAATAAAACATTTATACACATGAAATAAATTTAAAAAAATAAGCAAGAGATAAAGGAGATACATGTCTTAGGAAACCAAAGAGAACACTTAAATTTCCTAAATTAAGGAAAGTATTTCCCGTTCCTTCAGATTTCTGATCAAATGGTCACTGTTCAGGTTGAGGAAGGGAAGTGGTTTTACTTCAATAGCCCAGCAAAGTGATAGAAACACAATCAACATTCAACAAATGATGCCTGGGTTAAAATAAAAATCTCAAGGAAGAAGAAAAACTTATTTTAATAGACACTACATTAAAATAATGAGAACATGATCATGCCCCCATATTAAATTATAAAGGTCCTTGAAGTTAACTTCTGGTTCTCATTAAAATTTGGCATTAATGTAATAATGGCATTTTGCCATCTTTAAACATAGTTAATCCTACCCAATGAAACCCTAGTCCAAGACACCATTAATCCAAGCAGCTGTGAAGTTATAACTACGTAGGTCCATTATCTCCAATGAAGACAGGGCTGATGAGAACAAAGAACTTAAGAGAAAATGGCACATTTAAAGAGAAGTGTCAATTACAAAGTTTTACAAAAATTTCTCAGTTCTACATGGTCCCTAAATAAACAAATATCTGAAGCTCAAAACAATCATTGCTGAGTGTATTTTAAAAAATCATTTAGTTTACTGTTCCTTTATATAAATCTTGGCATTGCTCTGAAGAGTCAATAGAAATTAAGCGAATGAGGGACTTGATTAGGGGAGGGGGAGGGAAATGGGAGGCGGTGGCAGGGAAGAGACAGAAATCTTAAATAAATAAATAAATAAATATAAAGAATTGACAGTAAAAAAAAAAAGAAAAAAAAGAAATTAAGCGAATGGAGAAGAAAACTACCATTCCTTGCTTAAACTTGGGTCTTCTAGACTGAAAATGTTAAAGACAGCCTCTGGCCCTCACAATTTCAACATCTTTATGTAGAGAAGGTCCTATAAAATAAACTAGATGAGGCTGGAGAGAGGGCTTGGTGCTCAAGACAACTTCCTGTTCTTACATAGGACCTGAGTTCAGTTCCCATGGTGGCTCACAACTATCCATGACCAGAGTTCCAAAAGATGTGAGCCTGAGCTATGGATGTTTGTGAGCCATGCATAGGTACACTTTGAAGACAGCTAATTTTGTATCTGTCATCTAATAACTATTCTTATAAAAGCATTAGTATCAGATGGTCTTGGCTTTGTAATGCAGCGGTTACCGACATTTGCATGAAACTCTTGGTACCATCGGCTTACTCAGTGATGCTTCTGAGAACTATGAAATATTTTTTCAACCTGTATGGTTATTTCTTTGATGATAAGTTCCAACTGATAATGATTAGGGGACATGGTGATAACCCTAATTATTTTCATATGAAGACTGGTGAACATAAACTCTTTGCCATTGTTTGGTAGATTGGTTGGCTGGTTTTGTTTCAGGCCAGTACCATTTCTGATATTAAATATATTGCAAATACCAAAAGAATTAAGATAGTAAGCCAAAATCTGACCACAAACAGGACTAAATTAACTGAAAATATTTTGTGGTCCACAGTAGATGGTTCTGACTTTATGCTCAACTTGAAATAATAGAAATATATTAAATGAGAAATTATAGAAATGATTCTACACACATTTTCTTCCAAATTAAAATTTTCAGACATTAATGAATTAGGTTCAAACTAGGAAACATCTAATCCTGTTCTTATCTATTTGCTCATTTTTATTGGACGTAAATGTGCTAATTTTTGTTCCCACTTAATTTTTCTATATCTAGATATATTCATGTATCCATATGGCTTGATATAAAAGTTGGAGAATGACTTCTGTATTTTGTGTCATTGTACATTCTCAACATATTTATGCAGATATAAAGGCATGAATAATACTTGTTACCCTAAAAGAAATCCAACAGATTTAACTTTCTTCCTCTTTATAATAAGGGAAGACTCAGACTCTTTACTACACAAGAACAGAAAAGAAGGTTGGGGTTTATGAGTTTGGTAACCTCCAACATATGCAACTCTAACTGACAAATTCTGCACATCATTAACTTGGCTTCTTTGAGAACACAGTGGCCTTGACCCATTGCTACAGCATGAATCTGTTCAGGGTAAGACAGCATACTCTGCAGAACAGATCTACTGAGAACAAGACTATGGGTGCACGATGATGCCTTGCCTGTAGTTACAGTCTTGAAGGAAACTGATGTGATGTAATGGAGAGAAGCTACATCAAAGAAGAAAGAATCTGGGTATTGTAATTGATGTGTATGATAAAACACTACATTGTGAGTCCTCATTTCTATATCTACAGTCATTGTTCATCAGAGAGTTATGAAATGCCACATGAGAAACCATGCTAAGATGCTGCTAAGATGAACGGAAAATAAATTATTAAAATGACCAAAACTAGAAAGGTATTATCAAAACCACACGCTAAGCAACATAATCTTTACACACATTTGAAAATGGTCCAAAAAGATATGCTATCCATTTTTCTACAGTGGAAGGGGAGAAAATGCTTATGGAAATATTCTTAACTATTAGCTGTGGATTACAGCTATTACATTCACAGCAAAGTACGTGATTGTGAAGCAAAATAAGAGGAAGAGTCTCAAATAACAAGATCTAAAAACAATGAATCTACTGGTTTCACTATTTCATTCTTCCACAAACTCTCAATCCCAACCGTTTTCTTTTCATTCAACTTCAGAAAGAATCTCTGCATCACTGCAGCAATGGTTCTTATGCTTCCTTCAGTAAGGCACAGAGGCTGCCTAGGGTCTCCAAACTGACTACTGGCTGTCCAAAGAAAGACTGTCTAAGAGTAAATAAGATAGAGGTAAACTAAAGGGGGAAAATAACAGCTGTAATTATAAAATAGAAAACCTTCTCTGTGTCTGCATATACATGTGTGTATGTGTGTGTAACATTATATATATATATATTTAACATATATGACATATGTGTCTATACATATACATAGGATTGGGAAAAACCTGCATTATAACCAGTGTAACTAACTGTATAATCAAGTAGTTATTGTTATAGCTACAACCATGCAAAAATAATCACTTATAAACAAAATGCAAATTTTGATGGTTTGTGTTATTCAAGGACTTTGTGAATTCATAAAATCTTTCAAGCAACTAACACTGAAGGATGTAAAATCAATTAGATGACCATCCTACTGAACCTTGCCACACCTCAGGTGTCTGGAGGCAGGACAGTAAGACATCTGAGAAGCCTTGTTCTGTAGACAATGAATGGCAAGTTGGTGATTTCTATTTCTCATATGGGCAAGCTGAGTTTATAGAAGAATGATGAGGAAGAGAAATTTATTTTTTTAAGAGTGATGAACAATTTTGTGGAACAATGCCAATTGGTACTTTAAATATAAAAATATACAAAAGGCTTAAATATAGTTCATAAAGAAAATTAAAATGGCTTAAAATATATTTAACAATTAAAATTGCCAAATAAAAAGAGGTGCTGATGCAGGATCCTTACAGGCAAAAATCCTTAAATCTGTTAATAATATGGAGAGACAAACATCGGATGCATAACAGAAATATAACTCAAATACAGCCCTTCTACAAAGTCATCTGG